ACTTTATCACCTTGGCTTGTTATAAGATCTTCCATTAGAAGTTTACCAGTTGCATTAGCAATGAAGTTCAGCAGCATTTCCCTTCTTCCACATACCCCACCACCACCACACACACACACTTTATTTCCCCCCACCCCCAGGATAAGGAAAGTCCTAGGGGGTTTTCCAGAACATTAAGTTAATTGTCAAGCTTAGTCCTGTTCTCTCTGAAAACAAAGACAGTTTTGCCTTCAGTAGCAATGGGTAGAGAAATCAGACATTGGTGCAGTCCAGTCAAAAGTAGTATCATATAGCAGAAATCATGTGACATTGTTAACTTACCAAATCAGCAACTTTAGCCAGGTCAATCATTGTGTTGATGTCACATCCACATTCAATAATAGTTAGCCTGCGTTTCTTACCTGAAAACAGAATTAAGAATCAAAAACTGAAACAGAGGAAGCAAACTGATTAATCCACTGTTTATTTTCAGCTCACATTCCTGAAGTTCCTGAAGAGTATCTGGGACTCAAATTCCTGTCTAGCATACAGATTGTCCAACACACACCACTGTAGAAGTGCCTGTTTTCAAACGTTTATAATTCTGCTACGTTTTAACTTTTTAGGTTAAAATTATCAGGTTGAGTACGTCTTTTCAACAATGTTGTTCAGACTTTTCCAAAAGCAATGCTAATAGAAAAAAAAATGGTGGGCTTTTTTACTTTGGAAAATAAATAATTCTCTGCCCCTCTTATCTTTAGTTAATATTGTACATTTTATTTTACCATTTTTTTTTCCTTTTGATATTGTCAGGAAAAATATCCTGTGCTAGCCTTTAAAAATAAAATTAAATTTACATATCAAAAAACTTCTCAACCTGCATCCCAGTAAGAAAGACAGGATGCATGTTAATTTGGCTTGACTAACTTGAGTTAGCTGACTGAACTTTAGACAACAGGAATATCAACTTTAAACAACTATAGACGTAGAATATCATAGTTTTTTGTCTTCAGGTTATCAGTTGTAAAATTCAACCCTTGGAGTGCCTGTAGACCAATTAGGAAATCCAGTTTAACATGTGAATTTTCCTTTCTTTTTTCTTTCCCATATTTGTCAATTATTCCTTGCAAAAAAGAGATTTACTAGTTAAAGTCTCTGAAGAGTCTACCTACACCAAACATACAGTTGTCCACATCCAAGCTGTGCTGTGCTCCCCCAGGAACCTCAATGATGCCCTCTGGTAATATTCAGGGAAAAGTATGAAGGGAACAGACTAAGACAAGTGGGAGGACTGAAAACTTAACAAAAAGGAAAAGGAATTGATCAGGGAGTGAGGTGAAGAAACATAACTGGAAATGGCTAGGCAAATTAATTCTTGGCTTAAGAAAGAAAAGGACACAAAAACAGGATTGTAGGGCAAGGAACCTGAAAGAATGGGAAATGACTGTAGAGGCTGGGATGAAGCTAGAGAAAACAAGTTTAAAATGAAAAACAGAACCCAGTGGGAAATGAAAACTTGGGAAGAGTTTGGGGAATGGAAGAAACTGGGAAAAACAAAAACAAAATTAGCATCCCAGCAGGGTAGAAAACAAGTTTAGACGGACAAGTCCCCCAAAAGCCTAAATCTCACTACTCTTTCACTGTTAATTAAGTACGCCTGAAAACACATCCAAATGATTTCTTCAAAATGACCAAAAATTATGAGAACATGAACCAGTCCTAGCTCTAAAAGCAAGGCAAATAAGGACTGCAAAATAAGCATTTCCATTTCCCCTATCTTTGTTCTCACCTGAAACAATTGTAACAGGACCCCGGATTTCAATCAGTTTTTGCCTTGTGAAGTTCTTAATGAGACATTTTATTAAGGTGCTCTTCCCAACCTTGGGAGGGCCGACTACAACCACCACCACAGGAGGTGGCTCCAAAGGAGTACGATCAACGACAGGAATGTGATGTTTTTTAGTCTTCAAATCCTGAGTTCTGAGAAGAAATTAATAATAATACAAGAATTTGAAAAACAGAAACATTTATTCATTGAAAGTCTTCAGTATTTGCAAAAGCTTGGCCGCAGAGGTTCACCAAGAGCGGAGATACTACTAACATGTATGTGGAACTTCCAGCAAGTGTACAGAGCTATACACTCTTCCACTGATTAACAAAGCTGTACCACAGATGCAGAAAGCATCACACCTCTAATACACACACACACTTCAAACCAACCTGGTGAATGATGAAAGCTATGTGAGCACACCAATGAAAATTACGCTACATATATTGCTACAGAAAGTAGCAATAAAACCCCAGCCAACTCCTATCCATCTAACTGACTTTATATGTTCTATAACCAACTCCCATGTCCTACCTATGGAATGTTCTGGCCATCCGCACAGCAGACTGGACTGTAAAGGCTTTTGGGTTTCTCTTCCGTGCATTCTCATCGTCTCCTATTCCTAGGTCACTGAGATAACGTTTCCTCTTCTTTTCTGCCTTTGGCCCACTATGCTTTGCGCGGTGCTTCTTCTTCTCTTTTTCCTCCATCTTACTCTTTCAACAATTGTTTAAAATCAATATGACGTAGATTGCTTCTGTGTGACACTGTGCACAGCTGACACAGGAAGAAAATGCAGTTAGCACATACAGCATACACTACAGCACACCCGTGAGAGAACGCCAACACCGTGTAACAATTACTTAACCACCTGAAAGAGGAGCTCATTTATATCCTGCCCGGCCGCACACGACAAGCGCCGAAGTCCGCCCAGCGCAAAGCAGCAGCACTCCCGGCCGCTCCCAGGCCCTGCGCTCTCCTCGCTGGGCCGCGGGTCTCCGGGCGGGGCCGCTACTTTACCTCGGGCAAAGCTGGCTGCCAAGGCCGCCGCGGCAGGGAGCT